TAAAATGCCCACTGGATTTTTCTGGGCACTGCGATAAAGGTTTTATAAGGTTTTTGCTCTGCTCCGAGGTGGTCTCCTACATGCCACAGTCCCAGTGCCCTGTTTTGGGTCCAGCCCAGGTCCCGTGTCCTGCCAAGAGGGGCCCACGGGCAGGAGGAGAGCGCCCACCCCAGCACACGCTCCGAGTTCTCAGGTCTGACACACACGTGCTACAGACGCACACTTTCCAGTCACATCTCAACCTTGCTTCTCCAATCTAGTTTTGGTCCATTTTATCTGACTTTGTGCCTCTATCTTTTTAATGGCTTTTTCCTTCAGCCTCTGCAGAGCTGAAACACAAACAGCACTTCATACACCAGTGCTCTGGAAACATCTTTTACATCTAAAATGTCATCCATCTTACTGAAGGAGAAAAACAAGGATTCATATGCTTCTTCCATGAGCAGTGGAAGAAGCATGCTAGGAACAAGACTCTTTCTTCTACCAAGCTCCATATGCACAGCTCCTTGGTGAAGTAGTAAACTGATTAACCCAAATCAGCCTCCTTTTATACAAAGCTGGAGTTAACCAGAAATGGGCTGCCTGCTCCAGACCCCAGCCTTTTCATCCTACTACCACACTGGTCTGCCATGACTCCTCAAAGGCTTTAAGGGCAATCCTGCCAAAATTGCAGCAGGCTATAACCCCATCTGGGCTCTGTTCAACCTACTCCCTTGTAAGAAAATAAAGGTAAATCCTGGCACAGGTTTTTTTCTTAGCTCACTGATAAAGGTCATAAGCTCTGGAGCCATCAGATAAATATTAACCAGAAGTCAGAATTAAACTTGCTGTGAATACAAAATCCTATTTTCTTTTGCAACCTGCACTGAGTGGTTCAAGACCCACTCAAGAATGAATCTCAGGCAGGCACTTCCACGATGCTGCTGGTTCAGCATTACCAATAAAGACAAGTATCGAGAAAAACAGTAAAACACTAACTGCATTTACCATTTGTGCAGTCTTGCCAGTATTATAAAATTTGTATTTATATTTTGTAATACCAGTATTATAAAATGAGAAGAAACTGTCACACCTATCTATTTCATCTTCCCTGTATGAGGCTCTAGACTCTTTCCCCAGTGTAAGACAAACATCCTCCCAAGCCTAAAATGCCTGTGGTGGACAATCTATCACAACTCTCAACAAATTGTACCAGTATAATTTACAGCAGTATCAACAAAAAAGACCACAAGCTTACAGAGAACAGATGTCACCTTGAGGTTTGGCATCAAATGTCCATTTGCAATAACAGCAATTGAGATCTCGGTTAATTTGGTTTAAGCTAAATTCAGAGCAGGTCAGGTGCTGTTAGTGTAAGATACAAAGAGTTTAGACTTGGTATTTTATTAATTCTCTAACAAAACAAACAATTTACAATGCAGTTTTGAGGTACTAGTTTAAAACATGCTGTTTATTCAGACTAACTGAAATGGACATGTTTAGATTGCAGTTAGTCATTCCTGAAATTGCAGTCTGGGTGAGAAAAACATATGGCACTAACTGGTATTAATCAACTGATAATGGTTACATTCAAAGTCTCATATGCATTTCATTGATTTAATAGCTGAAGAATTTGAAGACAGTACTTCATTTAAACCACAAGCTCTTCAGGTTGAGCAACATACCATACACTGACTGGAAATGAAAAAACTAATTGTATTTCTATATTAAAGGACTGGCACAGCTCTATTTGTGTCTGGTTTAAGTTGGGTAAATTCCTGCCAAAATTACAGCAGCATGTAGAAATAATCGAGTTCCCTTTTCTGAGCAAAAGGTGCAATGTTCAGGAAAAAGTTGAAGGCAGCGACAGTGTGCCTTGGGGAAGCCTTTGTGCTGAGCCAGCTAATATTTCACATACCCTCACCTCAGCCTGAGTAGTCATCATTTGCTTACTTGTGGCATGTGAAATGCTTTTAAAGAATAAAACATTCAATTTCTGATCAACACAAAGCCATAAAGCATGCATAAAGGTTTGGAAAAGGAAGTCTGTCTACACAACATGCACTAACTGCTATATCACAACATGAACTAGTTACCCTGAAAGCAGTGATAAAGCTTAGCACTGGGAAACAGAAAAAAATTATAAAATAGCTATTCAGATTTTATGAATTTTACATTTACATCACAATAGATTCTGATAAATCTTTGTTGTCAGTTATTTAACATAACTGTGTATTCCAATATTTTTAAAAAATTAGTATAGTAATTTTATACAATAAATTTTGTGTGCTTTTTCTAAAATGCAACATTTTGTCTTATTTTTTCATTAAGGTACCTGAGAATCACACTTTTACCAGAAAATAGACAAAACTTTAAAAATACCGGTCACTTTTTAAAAACTATTTATTTTTTGTTAACTAAAATGAGTCAGCCATAAGAAGTGCAAACTGCATAAAACTTCGGAGGGTAAAATGGTTTCTGTTAATAGATGATGAGGCTTCCAAATAATAAACGTTTGTCTTGTCCGTGTTGTTTTGGGGGAACATGTATCATCGATGCAGAAACAAGTTTCCATTCAAGGTCCCAAATGAAGTTGTCTTATCTGCTTATGATATAATCCTCTAATATAAAAAAGCTAAATGCCAGCTACTGTGAAGAGAAGGAATTAGCATAAGATGATCTGTTTTTATAAACTTTTTTTCTTTTAAAACAAAGAACTCTGAATGCAGGCTAAAGCCCTTTAGGTAAAAACAATTTCACAGGAAGCAATGGTAACAGTGGTGAACAGCATCTTTATGCTGACATTTTACTTTCAAGCAGATAACAATTTTGAGAACTGTGGTTTTGTCAGACAGAAGTATTGTCTTCTCAAAGCCATAACTATAAATATACCACCCACTTCATTTGCATTCATGCCTTTGTCTGCTAACAATGAAATGACACCAAGTACTCTGTGTTTGTGCTCTGTCTACCCAGTGAAAGGTACAGCTTCCATATAAACAGCACACCTATATGTCAGCAAGAGCCTGTGATAGATTTGCTTACATGTGTTAAGCTATCAAAAACCTGCATAAAATGACACATACATTTCTTTAGTATACTTGCATAGTATGCTGCATGACTAAAAGAAATACAATAGATTCTTGAAACTTAAAATATGTTCAATTTGAATGTATGCTAATGTAGCTGCAAGCCATAAAATTTTCATTTCTTTAATACAAAGTTAGACTATTTAATGCTACAGTAAGAAAATAATTATGTAGTTAACACCAATCAAACATGGCTGACAAAGGTTACATAAAGCTGAAAGACAGTATTTAATTCTGATGGCACTTTTACTGGATGACTAACTTTTGCAGCACATACATGCAGTATAAAAGTAAAGTTAAAAGGCTCAAATCCTGGAAGATATACAGGCATATGTTTTCTAGGAAGCATTATGATAATTTTTTGGCCTTCACATTTATTTTCTTCAGGCTGTAGAGCATTTTTGCTTTAACTTACTGCTCATCTCCAGAGCCTCCTACAATGCTGAAGCAGTATCACAGCCCACTGCCACCAAGATTAGATGGGAACACTCCACCAACCTCTGGCTCCTAACTTGCTTTCTCCTAGGATGCTGAGAGAATCTAAGAAAATTTCTGAATCTGAGTCTTCATTATGCAGTAGCGAATTTAACTGAGCCATTTACCCTTAGTATCTGCCAGCTCTGCCTGAGTCTCTATGTTATTGAGCTGCAAACACTGAACAAACATTGGTTTGCTCTGCTCTGAAACATTATGAAAAAAAAAAAATAATCCTAGAACTGCTTTTTCACTACCAAAACAAATCATTGGTTGTCATGCTATTAGTTTTCTATTCTACTTTGAGACTAATTAGCTCTCTAGGTAGCTGCTGGGGGAGTAAGACGAGATGGTCCACCAAGCACTGCAAATTTTTCTTTTTTGCCAATTTTAGATCTTTGGGAATATTAGTTCCTAGTGGCACCACAGGTGCACACAAGTCTGGAACTACCCTGCCTCTCACGCTTGTCAAAAACAACATACTTCCTTGATGTAGTCTTAGTTTTCTCACAGTTGGTATGGAAAATTACTTCAACTCAAAATTGTAAAACCGACATGTCTTGGTAATTACATGTAGAAGACAAACATACAACACCTAATTTAAAAAACCCTACATCTCCTGAGCCCCGAGTAATTACAAGATTTTGGGGAATTCTTCATTTTTCTGCTTAATTCTTCATTTTTCATACTCAGGATATCTAATTTTCTTCTGTTGCCACACAAGTTGCAGGTGCTCTGTTTTTCCAGAACTGTGGCAGTTTTAGTCATGAGATCAGTGCAGAAATATGCAGGGTTACTTCAAGCTCAGATCCATAGCTGTGACCAACAATCAGGCTCTTAGAAGAGGAAATATATTGCTTTTGCATTTTCTCTTGTGACTTTCTTAGATAACAAGAAAGTATGCCACTTACATGCACATGCCTTTGTGCCCCCTTAGTTCAGAGTGGCTCTGTGAATAACTCTTTATGTACAGGACCTCAATTTTGTTCTCATCAGTTACTAATAGGCCCAATTCCAGTGAAAATACATGTGTAGAACTAGAGTGACAGCTGCTCCACAGCTTATGGGGACCAATGCTAAAGTCTGCCTGAAATTGATCCTCTGCCAAAGAGTCTTGTGACAAAGTCTTAAGCCATACAGGTAGAGAGAAAGAGCATGGATTTGTCAATCTGCATAAGATCCTTGGAAAGGGATCATAAAATCTGGTCCGGTACCTTAATTTTAAGGACGACATCATTTCAGAACTAATGAAATTATTTGTGTTCATGTTATTACAGTAGTACTAATGAAATATCATGTTTCAGGACATAGGCTGATTAAAAGAGGAGACAAAAAGGAATTTTTCCTCCTTCTCATTGTTTACATTCCAAAATTGTGGAGATGAGTTTGGGGAAAACTCCACATAACTTTGAAGCATCAGGCATTGACTGTAATGAGACAGTGGAGTTGGTGATTCTATGTATCTATGTAAAAGCACAAGGCCCCAAGCTGTCACTTGTGTGGCTTCTATTTAAGGCTGGCCTTACAGATGAGGTTCTGAGAGAAAGACATCATCAGTCCTCTCAAAGACAGAAATGCTGATATTAAATAAATATCTACAAGGCGAACAAACTATAAGTTCCAGAATAAAATCTCTTCAGGTCTCTAATTTTTACACTTAAAATGTAATAACGCCCACTGTAGGAGATAACTGGACAGGTTTTTTTCACTGTATTCACAAGAATTACTAATCTACCAGTCTAGTATGAAGGCCCACTAAAAGTGATACCAAATAGGCCACCTGAAGTAAATATTTCAAGCCTACAAATAGTCAGTGGTACGCTTTCAAAATACTCTAAGTTCCAAACTACAAATTTTCATTATATTCATTTCTAAGTAACTGTATTTAACAAGGACTATTACTGTCTTGCTAAAGCACATACCCATGCTTTCACAGATAAATGTCAATGAAGTCCTGGAGGTTGCTGGAGTATTGGTAGTTTATGACTGTTCTGTGCAACTTCAGCATTGTAGTTAGAAAATTCAGTTTACCACAAGGTCATATTTAAAATGATGCTGTGTGAGACTGGCACATCCTAAGATTATTGACATTTTCTAGAATTGTAAATAAGCACCAATTAATGAAATTGTTTTTAAGTAACAGCTAACCTCAACATTCTGCAATATTTGCCATTTAGGTTATATGAAACATCCTATCAAGATAAACTGTATCGTTTGGTATCTGTGGAAAAAATTCTACATGCAATCATTCCATCTCCACCTGCAGGATTACAGCATGAATTCCTCAGTGCTCTGCAAATTTTGCCAAATGAGTATGATCCTGTATTGTATCCACTTTTTTTTTCTAAATCAGAAGGGTTAAATTAGTTTCTAAAATTATAAATAAGCTTTCTATAATTCTAAAAGCCACACTGAACATAAACGCCATTTGGAGTGACAGTTGCCATTCACATTATTGCAAGATTTGAGGTATTCTTGAAAAGGCACCAGTGAAGTCATTGGATCCGGATGTACTGAATCACAACAGGAACATGTTCAGTTAATGCCCTATTGAATAAAGAGACACATTTCAGTACAACTATTTTTTTTAAAATTGGCTTGGCTTCAAGATGGGCACACATTCATACTGTTTGAAATCCCTCACTTCACTGTCACTGCTTAGCTGTCTCTTTGGATTTTGAAAGGCATGGAGGCAGCAGGCATGTAGCTAACTATCTCTTGTGTAGAGCAGAGAACAAGTTTTACTTACTACAGAAATGGTCACAATAAAGGCAACCAGCAGAGAGAACTCATGACAGTGGTCTGAGTAGAGTGAAAAACAGGCTCGTCTCTGAGTCAGAAATTTCAGCCTTTTTCCACACACAGAAAAGAAAGGGGCTACCCATTTTCAAAATAAGAGTTGGATAAGTATTTGAGAGTCAAAAACCTTCACCGTGTTATTTTGACTCTTTGCTCAGTCATTTAAGGGCATAATGTGAAAACCATGAAATCATTATGAACTAATATGCCCACTTACTTGGTCTTATGCGCCTGAGTGGTGAGAGGCTGCGGCTTCGAGACAACTGCAAGACAAACAGAAAAGGACACTCAGGTGTGCTAAAGAACTGTACCCAAGGCAGGCACCTGGGGACCCACCAACATTCAGAAAATTTGTGCATGTCTCTCAGTGCAGCTCCACTGCTACAAAGTCAAATTCAAAACTTTCCAGTTTTTCTTTCACACCCTGCACACACATAAAAGTGAGCCTTACCCAAAGCCTCTCACATTTCCAGTATTCACATTTAAAGTTGAGTCCACCCATATCAGTTTAATAAGATAGGCTAACAATTAGAAATAGAAATTAGACAAGATTTTTACAAAAAAAAATTAATACAATTGTGTAACTATACCACATGCAGAACTCTGTGAAGGTTTTATATACCTTATTAGTACCACCTCAGTTCTTCCCCTCCTGCCCACCCTACACTGATTTTCTGCTCATTTGAGGCATTAGAGGGTAAATCCAGATTGCCAATTCAAGGAGGCAGGGACTATGTCTATATATGTACTGCAAGATGACTAAAACACTTCCAAGATGATGCAAATAGCTATTCAGAGGGTAGTGAAGCAATGAGAAATAGAGGGAAGGCATTCCCAGATGCACAATTGATATTTCTGTGTATTTAACTATGGTCTACTCATACAGTATTTCCACTGATAATTACATACAAGGCAATAACTATGTGTCAGTTCAGCTTCACCTCATTCCAGACCCAAAGGCATTTATTCCCAATGTTAAAATGTACATGTGGTACATCAGCAGTTTTAAAAGGTGCCTGCATTCCGAGTTTAAAATACTTGATGCTGTTTATACTACAAGCATTCAGCTGGGACTTACATGATGAGATAGAAGTGGACTGGTGCTACGGCTGGGGCTTCTGCTTCTAGTTCTACTTCTGCGAGACCACTACAAGAGAAGAGTTTGACAAACCTCTTTCGAGAGAGCGTATTTAATAAAAGGCAGACTTGCCATGCTGGAGACAAGGCTTGAGGACAGATAGTAAACAGTAAACTTTCTCCTTAGAACAGGCTCTGCCAACAATCATACATCTGCATAATGCAAACATTAAGGCAAATGGAACTATTCCATCCTAAAAACAGGATAAGGCACTACAACCTAACTGATACTTGATAAACACAATTCCAGCCATATAGGGAACAATCAAGAGTTTATCTTTTTAAACAGTGTTTAAATCCAATGACTTCCCTTAACATGTTTCTTAAAGTACATACCAGAGTTCCTCTTTTTGTGACTGCCTCTCCCTTCACAATTACATTATCATTTTCCATCAGAGCAGGCCATACATGATAGGCCACCAAGACAGCTGTGAAATCAGAGTCAAAACTACGATGGTACCTGTTGAAACAGAGTACAAGAAATGTCTGCATATAAATGCCAAAAGATAAATATGATGCTTCAAGTCAATGTTGATAAAAAGCAGAATACTAGTTACAACTCAAACATCTTTCTTGACAATACTTCCGCATCACAAAAATAAGTATTCTTTAAGTGAACCTGTAAAAGAAATGCATTTGTAAGACTGACTTAGCAGAATATAGACAGAATACAGTCTACTTATAACAAGAGACACTCCAATAAAACCATCTCGCACTTCAGAAGGCCGCTAGATCATGTTCTTGCATAAGCCCCACACAAGCCAGGGTCCTTGGGTCCACTGGCAGATTCAATTCCTGAGATTCCTGAGCAGCATTTTGGCAGACATATTCATTCCATCATCCTGGAATATCTTATTAAAACAAGACCCCTATACAGTATTTTTGTAATACCCCTTATCTCAAACCTAAAGTTACATCCTAGTATCTTAAGAGACATAAGAGGCAATTGTGTTAGCAAGATCCTCAGATATTGATAATGAAACAGTGTCTTTTTGGCTAAGAAAAAATATTTTGAAGGCCTGTATTAACATACCAAATATGTATTACCTCCCTAAGTCTGCAATATTGGCTGAAAAATACATGTCTGGCTTATGGATTCAAACTCAAAACAAATACAAAATAGCAATGTATCTATACATTAGTAAGGTATATACAATAGCAATTTATATAAAATAAAGCTGTAAACAGAGGCATGAGATTTCCCATGAAGGAAGGTATATGGCACAATGAGGCTTGGTCAGCCCTTTTATAGAATGGTATGACACACAACTAACAGAGCTATTTTAATTTCTACAAATTTTGCTCAATCTCTGTGTACTACACATACATGCTATAGATACAAACATATATATGCCACATCTATACAGATGGATAGATGTGTGTATATATGTCTCTCGCAAAAGTGCATATAAACACATTACAGATGGTTTTTTTTTTTGAAGGCCACACACATCAAGTAGGTGGAGAAATCATCCCAAGACTATACCATAGCATTGTTGTCTTCTTAATTCAGCCAGTTGCTTTGGGTATCAAATAGCTAACTGCCCAATATTTGGACAGGATCATTAAGTAGTCATGTATGACTTTGCACTCCCCTGCACTCTTCTATTTCTCTCCTTGGCTTCTCAAGTTCTTCCCCATCTGGGTTCCATCCTATTTTAAATTATTATTAGAAGCCTCCTTATTGTTGTGGCTTTTCTTGCTTTTGAGATTTTTTTTTTTTTTTTTTTTTTTTGAGTTGGCAATCCCATTAGTTTTTCTTGAAAGCATGGAAGTACCCTACTGTTCTCTGCCAGCTAACAAAGCAGCCAGCCCTGACCCTATGGAAAAAAGAAAAACTGTATTATGGTGTGCATTGTTTAAACAAAGTTACCATTTTTAAAGGCATTTTTATTTTTTCTCAGCTCTAAACCAGAAGAGAGTGTATTATGATCCATATGTTGTACAGGAGCCACAATCAGGAGGTCATAACACAAATGTTGATGATCCTCATATCAGACACTCAGATCTCAGTAAATGTGATTTTTACAAAATGGGCCAGAAAGAAGGAAAAAAGATGCACACATTTTATAACCACTGGAGGCAGACTAAACAGGGAAAGGAAAACTGGTGATCATTTTCCTCTTAAAGGTTAAATTAATTATGCTCTAAAGACTGAAGTTTATCTAGAAAATTGCTCTGCTGTTCATTAAAAAAAAAAACCTGTTAACACTGGTCTACCTCCTGGCATTTATACACCATCATAAAGCTTAAAGACATACGAAATTCACTACCGAGAAGGAATCTTTGCCCCAAATTAATGTTTAGCTTAAATCTGAAACTTTATGTTAAAACAGGAAAGTAGTAGACTATACAACCTGATGGATTTTTTTTTTTAAATAGTAAGAATCCAACTGAAAATAAAGAGTTCTTACTTGGTCTCACTGAAAAGTTCTCTATCAGTACCAAAGGCAATATCGAGAGGAGGAGTGAGTGTCTGCATTGAAAAAGCCATACGGCACAACTCTCGAATCAAAGTGCTGATTACAATGAAATCAATTTCTGGTGGAAATGAAATCTTTGGGTTGATGTTCATGGAGCGAATTACTTCCTGAAAATAAACACAGTTGAGTATTTTGAGCTAATACTTTTATTCATGGACAAGTACGGAAATCCGTCCTAAACATATCTCTCAGATTTCTACATTTAAAAATCAGTATAAGAAGCTCCCAGCAATGTTGTCTTAGGTTATTCCAGAAAATATTAGCTTCACAAAGAATGTGGTGCTGTTTTAGAAATAAAGTATGAGCTACATCATTGACATCAACCTTAGGAGGGAGATGCAGTTTTTCAGTAGATCACAGAATTTAAGAAAAGTATGAAATTTAGCTTGCATTTATTTAAGACAGTTACACTGTATCTTTCAAAAAATATTATTGTGGCAGAGACGTTCTAGTTACAGGCAAATAAAACAAGTAATTACCGGGTCATACCACAATATTATTTTGGAAAATAAAGACATAGCTATAAGACATAAAATTAATGCAATAAACTAGAAATGCACTATAACCTGAAGAAGAAGAAAGTTTACACACTCTGAATTTATTAGCTACTGAAATAGGTCAGCACATCCCTTCCCCACCGCCCTTGACTTACATTGACACTGGCTTGAACATCATACAGATCCTCATGACGAACTATATAATCCAGGACAGTGTCTTCAAGTGACTCGGGCCCCGAGTGACCTAGAGACAGAGTATCTCTTACACGTATTTTGAGCTGCCTGTAGGCCATCTTTGCTGCATGAAAAGACTCCTGCAAACATAAAGAACATCTAGTTAAATCCAGGAGACTGAGATTAATTTTTTATCAATTATCTGAGAGGATGTATCATCATTGTAAGGAGGAATATAAAACACTGCTGTAAAAGTGAAAGTTAAAACCAGTACTCATTTGGGAGGACTTTTCTGATTAAATCAAGTGCCATTTATTTGCAGAAGATGGGACTGAAAAAGCTTCACACATAACCTATTTTTATGTAGTATGCCATCACATACCCACTATCAATGGAATCACATTCAAGGCTATCAAGAGGAGAATTCACCACAGCCTAATTTGTCAGACAGGAGCACCTCTTGTCTATGAGGTAGAAAGGTTGAATTGGAGAGCGTAAACTGAATGACAGTGAGGGGGGGAAAAAACTTCAGTAAATTAAATGTGCTTGGGATTACACACATTGAGACACACACTACCTCTCTGACATGGGTATGCACTACAATTTTATAGAAAAGAAGATTGACTACAGAAAAATTAAAACAAATTTCTTCAGAGCTCATAGTAAATGCGAGGTGTCTAGGTAAACATGAGGCATCTAAGTAATTTCATGGGACCAAATAAAACTAGAAAGGCACATAGCTACAAGCAAGAGGGAAGCATGATATGGAAAGACTTCTTTAGCTTTCTAAAATGTAGTATTCCCAGAAGAATTCATCTAAATGAGACAGTTTTAGCGCAGGAATCATCGACCTTTCAGATCCATACAGTCTTCTTATGCATCCCTTTTAGCACCTGTACCATTGATCACTGACCTTGTTCTAATGTTGGGACAGAAGAGTCAGAAAAGGACACTATATTGAGAGTTCAGTGTAAAAGTATGAGGTAAAGAAAGGAAAAAAAAAATCAAAGGGGGGAATAAAAGAAGAGAAGCTTCTCTGTACTTCACATAAATGCTAATTTACACACAATTTAATCCAATCCAGCCATAATATTTTATAAAACATTTCTGGCCTGCCAAACAAGAAATGTTATTGTTTACTTACCACAGCTGCAATGTATATTATCCTCTGTACCATTTCCATGTCACTGACATACGTCCTCAAAAGGGTCTCTGCATCCAAGCGTTCCTGAGCATAAATGTCACCAAAACGAGCTATCAAGCAGGCGCGACGTGAAGCATTTGTACGCCTGGCTCGGCCAGGTGAGCAGCTCCTCGGGGGTGATGACTTGTTCTCCCTGTGCCTTGGGAAAGGAGAGCAGCTCCGTGCAAGCCTATGACAGACATGTAAAGAAGCATGAGGTCAATTCACCATGCTCAGATGCTTTTGCCTAGTGCACTGAGTTTTGTGCCATTTTAATTATTACCAGGGTAAGCTGACATTTTTCACCAAAAAAATTAAAAACAAAGCTGCAGCTGGTTAGGCTAATATGAAGGCATTTGTGTCAATACATTTTATTGGCTAAAGCCTGAACAATACATATAAAGTAATTCCTTCTGTGTACAGCCAAGCACTTTGTTCTGGGGAAACACACTTCTAACTAGTAATACTTTGGAGATTTGTTCCTCTTTCTCACTTGTTTGACTTAAAACCACTATAGTGGTACTGAATGTAATAAGTTCTGCCCTCTAATGGTACAGTATTCAAAGAGAACTTATAAACAAAAAACCTAACCATCTCTTTTTAACCTGTACAGTTGTTCTCAATGTATTTTGTAAAGCTGCTCTCTATTGTTTTGCCAGAAACTTAACACAGCCTGAAACTTAACAGCCTGGGCACTAGGATAAATCAGTTAAAGCATTTAACCTTCGTAACAGAGTACAAAAGATTAGCTTTTGTTTATACTTCAATTTCAAATGAGAGACAATTCTTGCTATTCTCCAATTCAGTGATTTCTCTGAATAATGCCTCTACCTGCTCTGCAGAACAGACTTTTGGGCATCCAGGATAGAAATCTCATCCCGCAGTATTTGAATCTGCTGCTCATAATCATTCAGACGATCTAACTTCCTCAGGGCGTCCTCCTCTTGAGCACGGGAAGTCTTCAGACTTAACCACACAGAATAAATTCAGTCACAAGATGTCCTTCTACTGATGCAAACTATCTATCAATTAACCCTCATCACCAAACAAAAAGAACAGAAGAAAAGGAGAAATATTGAAGAAGCTCCTTATGCTGAAATACAGAGAAATCAAGAGTTCAGAAAAGCATACTCTCAATTACACTTCAAAGTGTGAAAGTGTATTGTGGCAGGAGACTGGATACACTATGCTTTATGTTGCAGGAGAGATCATTGGTTAGCATTTGGTCTCCTGGTACTATCTCAGATGATGAGGTCTAAGAAATGGTTTCTTTCTCATATTTAAGATGTGAACTAAACCAGCACATTTCTTTCCTACAGTTTAAGATTCTAGGTACTTTCTTATATCAGGTCCTCAGGTTTTTTGCTTTTCTTTGCTGGAATATATTAGTCAGTCAAAGGATATCACCAGTGATGTTATTCAAGTAATATCAAGAGCTAATGATTCCTCTTCTGGTCTTTCTAAGAGAGGCAGTGTTTCTTAAACATTGGCAAACAAACAGCTAAGCAATTTTATCTTTTGTCCTTTATTCTTAATGTTAGAAAGTATCCCAACATCTCTGCTTTCCCTCCTAACACAGATATTACTGTTGTTTTCCTCTTTCAAACAGGAAGGAAAAAAAAAAAAAAGCAAGAAAAAAAAGAAAGCAGTTTTGTATTCTTTTTGGAGGCATTCAATCTGTCCTTCCTTTTCTGATCCTGGTGACATTTGTGAGGAACTGAACCAATGAAAGCTGTAACACCTATCAGTTGACAAACTTCCTGTTCTGACTTTCTAAGGAGCAAGGCTGACTAAGAGGACCACAGATAACAAGGCCGGTGCATCTGCTAAGAGGAAAGACTGTCCTTCTGACCTGGGTAGGAAAAGCTGCAGATATTACAATCCCATGGACATCCTTAGTCAGCTCCTCCAGCAAGGACTTCTAGCATAGTGGTAGTAGAAGAGAGCAAAGAATTCTAATGTAAAGAATAACTGGGAAAGGAAAGTAGATTTGGGAAGACAAGTTCTAGAGATAGAAATGAGAGGGGGAATCATTATGTAACCAAAAAAAAAGTGGAAGAGAAGCTTATATATAATATGTAACACACTAGTTGGGCTTTCTTTAAATTGCCATGATAGGCAATGCTTCAGAAAATGCAGTATTAATAACATAAAAAGTAATCATGTCCCTTCTGTATTATTTTCTTTTTGCTATTTACCCCTATTCAAATGGAGATTTTTTGAAAGTTTTAAAGCAATTTTTGATGGTCTTTATGTCACTGATGTGAGATCCACAAAAGTCTCATCTTCTCATCATGACAGCAGATAATCATTACAAATACAGATGTTTAATTATAGGTCTGCCTTTATCAGGAGAGGGAGGGGAAAACAAACAGGAAAGCATAACAGACTGAAATGCAGGAATACCTGCATCTGTCATTGTTCATCACAAGTCATACGGTAAGTCACAAACATAAGAAAAGCCACCACTGAAAATGTATGTTTCTTTCTTTGTAAGAAAAGCTAAATACCAAAAGGAAAAAAACAACCTTAAGACAGACAGATTTATGAATTACCAGTGCTGACTTCTGTAAGCCTTAACACTAATCCTTTCCATGCTAATTACATCTATGCAGTATTCAGTTTCCCGTTCTCTTGTTCATTCACTCTACTACTAAATATTAGTCTGAAACGAAGAGAGCATTATCATCTTTCTGTTAAGGTTAGAGATGTAGATGCTACAAAAAATAATGTGAGCAAACAGGGCAAAATGTAGTTCTTAGAAAAAAATCAGAACAGTTTTTATAACCCATTTTTATTTTAAGGCTATAACTAGTGTTTTAAACTCCACCATCTAACTCTTTAAAAATAAAATGGGCATTTTCAGCCAGTTTTTCCAGAGAAAATACAACAACAACAGCCTTGAGAATTTCTGTCAAGTATCTCCTTAATGCTGTTGGGATAAAGAAGCCTACTGCTACACTCCAGTTTCAAACAATTCATTAACAATTAAGTCTCTCACAGTTCCCCCAGTCCTTGGGCTAAGCCTGATTCATTCAGTCAGATTCCCTTGAAATTCAAGGTGAGCACAACTCTACCTATGTAATTTTTAGCCAATAATTTCTTTAACCTATTTTTGAGAGACTCCTGCAACCACAATACAAGGTCTTGAGGTAACTGTTATCAATTACAAAATTGATAGAAGGTAATTGTTATCAATTACAAAATGTGTCTATCAAAATTTCTTCCTGCCAATTTATGTAATAGGTCCTCTGTACAGCAGACCAGAAAATAAAAGTCCTCTTGATCTCATTTACTTTAAAGGAGTCATCTGGCTTTGTTAAGTTTGATTAGACCTTGGCACAAGTCTAAGCATCCTAGTAGTAAGCTTCTACTATTTATAATAGTACTAATGGGATTTTGTTCAGTCTGCATATAACAGTTTAGTACACTATTTTTTGTCTTCCCTGAAGAACTTCCAATTACTTTTATATGTTGTTACTCATTTTTTAAAAACTGACATTTTTCTTCATAATTCTGCAGCAAATATATAAATCCTTTTATAATTAATATCTTGATACAACAAAAGCTTATAATGACTATAGAATTTAATTATATTGAGTCTAGACCACATTTGCCCTAACGGCTCAGGAGATCAAGTTGTCTTGCAAAACATGGTTTGATTTAAGTATGCGAGACAGATAGGCTATAGACAACAGGAATGAGATTATTAGCTATTACAAAAGTCTCTAAAAACAAGTTTACAGACAAAGATGAAAAGGACACTCCTGGCATAACTGTTTCTCATGTAAAAAACCAAAACAAAACAAAACAAAAACAAACAAAAACACACACACACAAAAAAAACCAAAACAAAAACAACAAAACCCATACTAACCAAGAAAACCCCCACCAAACAAAAAACCCAAACTTGCCCTAAATGTCACAGATCAGTCCTGACCTCACTTTCTCTACTTTTAGAAGGATTCTGGTTTTGACAGGCAGGTGAAGACTCGGTAAATTTGATTTCACCCAACTAAAAGGGTTCAAATTTTGAAAAGATGATTCACAGAACATGACAAATAGCACCTTCAATCAGAAGTTGAACACCCAGGCAGAAGATGGACATATAGAGTGCCAGCTAAACTAAGAGCAAACATGAACTATAACTACATGGAGATTACAGAATTCCAGGATTCGTAGAAGACAGGAATGTTTTATTTTCTATCCATAGTACAAGTAGCAACATGAATTTCTGTACAGTCTGCATTAAGACCTACACATGGAAACAGTGAGATGTTTTATTCCCTACTAATAGTTTTAATTGGGAAGACAGCAGTCAGGTTATATCTAAGAATTAAGGAGTTATAAGGTACTTTTCACCCCACAAATCAAAAGAGCCCATTTTATAGAATATGGGCCTAGACCCCAGGGAGCCATCCAAAAAACTAAAATTCAGAAGTGATCAACACTTGCTAAGAAAGTCTATGGATAAAATCTGACATTATTCTAGAAGCAATGATAAACATCCAGAGATGAAGAAACGATATTCAACTTGATATTGGAAGTAGAGACTCTAACGGCCTGAATTTTTTTGTTTGCTTATCTTTATCAGGAGTAACTCATCTCCTCTCAGTTGCCCTAAAAGGAGAGAAATTCATGGGCAGTTATATTCTTTCCTACAGCGTAAGCAGCAAAGTCAAGTTTTATCCATTTTTAAAAGGAGCAATGTTATTTAACTGAAAAACTGCAAGCATTTATTTAACCAGTATTACTATAGTTCTGTTATTGAAATGTCAGTTATCACAAGAGTCACATGCTGTTGAAATTAATATCAACTACGTTTGTGTCCTTTTCTGATAATAGAACACAAAAAAAAACCCAAAAGAAACCCAAAACCCCCCTACATGGGCTACATTTCATAACAGTGAAGAATTATTATTGCTTCTACAACTGCCTGTAGGTCAAGCCACAAAAGGAAACTAGTTTTAAGGACTCCTGTATTGAAATGGAAAGGTAGGTGTCCCAGCTGCACCCTTACTGATCCAGATTAACTTTCCAGATGTGACCAAAACACTTAGGACCTCAAAAAACATTTTAAAATCAGAGATGTCAACATTACCAATAGCCATTACTTCTGTGCATACAGGCAAAAGGATTTGGCAAAAATAGTCTAAAATAAAAGTATAAAGAACTTTATCTTAAGATAGACAGACTGAAGTGTCTTCTACTTAACACACAAGTAACTTCCACGAGCATCATAGCAAATTGCAAACAATGGTTTCTGGCTATATTCAGAATATGGGTCTCTCCTATTTAACTCCATCTACAAGACTCAAATGCTATAAAGCTGCTAGTTTCAAAGTAATCTTTCCTATACTTTTTTCTTTAGGGTGAAGAAGTGCAGCCATAATGTTTTTTCTTACGTGAGTCTACTTATGCTAATTCTCTCTCTGTAACACCAAGAAGCAAAGCTACAGGATGCTAAGGAGCTAGACCTACTTTTTGCTATAGCATAGGACAGTATAGGCTAAACATAACGTGCTCAGGTAAATGACAGACTGTCTCTGCATGCTGACTTTCTACCACAAATACCCCAAGACTCAATTTTTCTTATTCTGCTTTTTAGCTGAACAGTTTCAACTTCTGCTGCCAGAAGAGTAGTTGTTGACATGGTCTTTGTGTCTTCAAGAGCCAGCTGGGTTTTTGCCAGACTGCAAGAAAAATTAATAACCTTCATGGTAAAGGCTGAGTTTCTACAAGAGAATTAAATACAAACTGGCTAAGCAGACCAAATCCATACCCGTTTAACATCTGAAAACAATCACACAGTGGGCTTTGTGCAGACTATCAGCATGCAAATAGATGATAAAAGGTCATATCTGACTATGTAATAACAGAATTATATTGCTACAACCCATTATTTTTCATTAAGACTAAATTCCAGTTTCTCTACCGATTTCAACAATTTACAGCAATCAGAATGACTTCACTGTCCATAGATGAAAAAGAATTAATGTCCAAGATCCCTCCTGCACCTGTCCCCTGATTGCTAATAACTACACAATCATTAATCTGTTCTGCATCATCTTGAAAGGATCAGCTCTGAAATTTCCATGCATGACTTCATCTCTGTTTGAATTACCTCTTCCCAACCCTCCACCTTCCAGACTTCTACCTTTGCAAACCACAGCCAACACCTCCCTGACCTCACTGCAGAGAAATGCAACCCACAAACTGTACAAAAGCTTTACCAATGATTTCCCATTATGCAGGAGCTTGTCCAACATGACTTTCTTGATGAAAACTGCCACACTCACTCCAATCTGTATTAATGAACAACTTCCCTTGTGCTTCTCACCTTGACCATCCAACACTTTTCTCCAGCTCACTGAATAATTTTTCTAGCCACACAGAAGCATAGGACAAAATGCTTCACCCCTAAGCCAACCTTTATATATACACCCAAACCACAGAAGGGTTGATGTTGAAAGCCACCTCTGGAAGTCATCCAGTCCAACCCCCCTGCTCAAGCAGGGCCACCTAAACCCAGTTGCCCACAACCCTGTCCAGAGGGCTTTTGAATATCCCTCTGATGGAGACTTCACAACCTCCTCGGGCAACCTGTACCAGCGCTCAGTCACACTCACAGTAAAAAAGGGTTTCCTGATGTGCAGAGGGAACCTCCTGTGTTTCAGTTTATGCCATTGTCTACTTCTGTCACTGGGCACCACTACAAACAGCCTGGCTCTTGTCTGCTCTACACCCTCCCTTCAGGTATATATGTTAATAAGATCACCAATCTCCTATAACTCTCCTCTATACTTGGAAATATCAACAGAAAACAACTCCTTTGGTTATTAAACCTTCCAGGCTGGAATTATTTTGTAAGATTACATAATTCCAGCAAACCAGCTGAAATGCCAAAAAACCCTCTCTCTTCTTCCAAACATTGTGGGGTCCTTCTCTGACCCATCATGTCACTTTTGATATTTAATGTGTACTGCAAGATTACAAGATGGTTTTGTCCTCTTATCTTCTTTTCAGTGGGATGTGTTGATCTTTAACTCAGAGTTGACTGAGACTTTTCTACAGTGAAAAATTAAAATGCCTTCATTTATCTAAGATGAGACATAATAGATACTAGTATGTGTGGGTGAATAAAGGAAGAACAACTGATGTCACCTCCCTTGCCTTCTTGACAGTGTCCTACCCAACATCCTTGTCTCAAACTGGAGAGATACAGATTTGATGGACAGCCTAATTAATGGATAAGAAATTGGCTGAATGGCTGCACCCCAAGAGTTGCAGTCAACAGCTCAATGTCCAAATGGATATCAGTGACAAATGGTGTCCCTCAGGATCTGTGCTGGTACTGTTCAACTCTTTATTAATGACACTGACAGCAGGATTGAGTGCACCCTTAGCAAATTTGTGGATGACACGAAAGTGAGTGGTGCATTTGATATTCTTGAGGGAACAGATGCCATCCAAGGGAACCTCAACAGGTTTGAGTGGGCCCACGTGAATGTCACTAAGTTCAACAAGGCCAAGTGCAACCTGACACACCTGGACTGAGGTAATCAGTAGTATCAGTACAGACCAGAGGGGGGAAAAAATTATTAAGTCCTGTGGAGAAGGGCTTGCAGATAGTGGTAAATGAAAAACTAGAAATAAGCTGGCAATGTGCATTGCAGCCCAACAAGCGAATCATATCCTGGGCTGCATAAAAATAAGCATGGCCAGCAGGTCAAGGGAGGTGATTCTCCCCCTCTATTCCCCTTTCATAAGGCTCCAACTGGAGTACTATATCCAGCTCTAGGGTCCCCAGTACAAGACAGACATGGACCTGTTAAAGCAGATCCAGAAGAGGACCACAAAAATGATCAGAGGATTGGAACACCTGCAAAGAAAGGCTGAGATAGTTGGGATTGTTTAGCATGCAGAAGAGAAGGCTTCAGGGAGACCTTACTGCAGCTTACTGATAAGAAAGATGGAGAGACACTTTACTCCTTAGACCTCCCCTAGTGATAGGATGAGGTATAATGGTTTTAAACTGAAAGAGAGATTTAGATTGGAGTATAAGGAAGAAGTTCTTTACTGTGAGGTTGGTGAGACACTGGAACAGGTTGCTCAGAGAAGTTAGGGCTGTTCCCTCCCTGGAAGCGTTCAAGGCCAGGCTGGACAGGGTTTTGAGCAACCTGGTCTAGGAAGGGCGGTTGGAACTAGATTACCTTTGCTGGTTCCTCCCAACCCAAACTATTCTGTAACTCTACAGTCCTATGAAAGCAGGAGATATCTGCAAGATTAGGATACAAGATCCAATATTCTATTTAACCTCTTTAATCTAGCTAATACAGTTTGCAGTTCTGAGAACTTGATATTCTTAGAGTCACTTAGTAAGATCATTAAATTATATCACTTCTTGTACGCATGCAAGGACTGAACATCCATTGTTCTCATGCTAACAGGATGCATGAAAAACTGTCTGTCACTTGGAGCTACCTCTGAAATGGCCCTGGATCTGGCACTAACTGCACAAATCCATTTCCAAAACAATCATTCTGAGACTACAGGACTCCACAGAACGTGTTTTATGCAACTGGACAAAAAATGTTCAGTCCTAGTCACTTATTTGAAAATCTTTGTCTCTCCATATTATCACAGTGGGTTTTGATCATCTTTGATGTTCACATACTGATTACATACCATAACTAATTATGACATGTTGTAGATCCTTCAATAAGTGTTGCACTATAGCTACTCAATTGATTTTTATCAAGGTTTGCTCAGCATGCAACAGTTCACTGACTATAATTCCACTGGAATGGTCACACACTATGCAAAACCCTTTAATCTACAATGCTAGTATTTTTTCCAACTCCTCTGCCAGAAGCAAAATCTACCAAGTCAATTTATGAATGCGTGTATTACTATCATTTATACCCACCCCACTTTGGACACACATGGACAATCCAGAGCCTAGATGTATTTTGAAGCTCTGATTTTTAGCCATATATGAAACATTTTACAAATCTCCATCAGTGTCCAGATGTCAGGAGGAAAACATGGCTTGTTGAAAATCAAAACAAAAAAACCACAATTAATTCCCCTACTCTTGTTCCACATGGTCAAGCTGTAGACGAGTTGAAGTCAGTTCTTCCTGCAGCTCTTGAAGTTGAAAAGTCTGATTGCTGGCCAGCTCTTTCAGCTGCCTCTCTTCCTCAGTTGAATCCTACAATGAAACAAAATCACGCTCCTTCAATGTTCTACCTTATAGAATCCTTCAGCAATATAGTATAGTGTTATTAGCAGATGTATTTCTAAAGAGTTCAGTAAAGACCATTTCTAAAGTAACTGAAAACAAAAGCATAATTTCTAGAGAGATAAGCAAGCAATACCTTCCAGGCATAAAAACCAGACAATTATTAGGAAAAATCTTCACTTCATTTACACCTCATGATAGAGAATATGGAAGGTCTACATATGCAGATTTAATACCTGTATACACATCATCTGAACAAAGCATTCTTGCAAATGTGTTGTATGATGTTTTTTCCAGTCATCTTCTGACTGACTATATCACCAACTGAGGTAAAGTTTTTGGGAATTCATGTACACAAAACAGAAAAAGTTATTGGAACAGAGGAGGCAACTACTGTTGTTCCAGAAAGCACAGTGCTACACATGCAGCTCCATCTTTAACAACCTATAGATTTGCCCGATGCTACTGGAATCAAATAAATAACTGTGGAGCAGGCTTTTCTTTAAATTTTGAATGTCACATGCAATGACAAATCCATAACTGGTATACCAATTGTAGTGTCATTTATTATTATAATAAGACTTTTTTGGCAGAACCCTACTCCTGTAATGCATTAGAATCTGACTCTTAAGGGAATATCACTTTTCATTTGTATTTATTTAAACTATGAAATATTTTGAGAGAAGAGATGTAAAAATGATAAGTCATAGAAAATAGATACATCACTGTCAAATCTCTCAAGATCTTCAGTATTTTCCCCTAGTCTGCATCAACCAACACTCTTATTTTCTTTTGAAGCACAAAGCCACAGCAGATCTGTCTTTTCTGCTAAGAACTACTATAACCCCTTCAGTAAATATCAAATACATACTAACTCCAAATATCGAGTCAGGCATGTGGTGGTATCGTGATAGACATGAGCACTTTGGGGTTTTTTCTCTTCTGGAGACATTATAATGCTTAGATACTAAACAAAGATTTTTCTTTCTTCAAAAAAAAATAGAAAGAGTTCACAGATAAATGCATGGAGTTCATACACACCTTCAATTTACACATGTATTTTCAGTGTTAGGTTTTTACTAATAGAGATATGGCATAAATACTTCTATGATGTCTTTGCAAATGTAAAGGTGGCATAATTCTTTACCTAGAAAAGGAAAGTACAAAAACATAGCTTCTGTTACAAACCAAATTCCTCCATATTGTCACTCATTGTGAAACAGTGTAATCCCTAGAAGGCCAAAAGACACTTTAATCACCTCTTTGATTTCCCTTTCAAAGAAAACGTAAAATGAGACAGAGAAACAGCATAGGAGTCTCCATAAGCAACTAAGTATATATTTAATTAACCAAATCAGGGAGGGAAGCTATTATTAACAGAAAGTCATTAAAGCTCTCCTATGGGTATAAATTCACACTGTTCTATTCCCTTAAAATAAATTTTCTACATACCTGAGTGAGAGAGAGGTTGGTTTCAGAGAGCCTTCCTGAAGTAGCACGGGAAAAACAAGTCGCTAGCCATGGTAGGAGACGAGTTTTTATTGTTTCCACACCTGCATAATGCCCACCTAAAAAAATACATTCATTGAGAAACTGTGAGAACACTTACAGAAAGAGACAGAGCTTTAAAAGATGACACATGTGAAATAATTTACCTTCTCGAGATGTTTCATTGAGGATTGTGAAGAGCTGCCCTTGAATCTCAGAGTTTAACTCTATTATTTCACAGCATCGGTTCAGATTCTGATCACAGGAATTTATCTGTAAAATAATGTGTATTAATATATCCGCCTGGGTTTTCTTACTTAAAATTATTCCTGTTATGATCACAACTCTTTCTTCCTATAAATACTTCAAACTTTTCTTACTGCATCTGCTAGAATACATATCTTTATCATTGTTAACAGGTGAACGAACAAGACATCAGGTCTTCTATCACCCAGTTAATTCCCTAGTTGAGAAAACTTACTTCTTTCACCATTCATAAAGAAGACACAACCACAAATATCATGGATCTATGTTAAAAGTCTTCCAACACAGAGTTTTAAAAATAATGATAGGAGATAGTTGGATGAAAAAACATTAGTCCAAAATCTGATTTTCCATGTTAGCTGCAATAATACATATAAGGCTATTATCTTGCTTTGTCAACAGCCACATGAGCCCTCCATGCAATTTAATCTGATTTCTAAGAGCTACCAACTGAAACAAATACTGCCATAGAATGGGCAGTATCCAGCATTATGCCTAGGAAACAACAGAACAGCAAAACTACACCACTTTCAGCAAATGCAGTTCTGAAAAGGATGGGGTTAATCTGTCCAGGATGCTACTGCACCTGCCAGAACACATACTTTGTACCTGCTTCCTTAATCTTTACTCATAACCTGTGTATCACCTTCATTGTAGATCACCCTCTAGGTCTTCACACTTCAATGACTCCATGAGGTTTTTACAAGCTTCCAAAACGGCTCAAAAACTCTCACCCATTCCCCTGTCAGCTTGCATTTTGATTGCTGCAACATGCTTTCCTCTGGTCTCAAGGGGCACAGTCTCACCCTGCTAACCTCCACTAGACCACCACAGCAAAGTGCAATTTTCCAGCTCATTACACCAACAACATAACACCAATGGTGCTTCCATCTGCCAGCGCCTCCTTTTCTGCAATGACAGCCTGAAACTGCTCATCTTTGTTTCCCAAGACAACAGGGACTGCCCCATCTCTCTTATTATAGAGATTTCAGCTCCCACTATCGCTCAGCCCTCCCAAGGTCTGCCTTCACCATCCACTTGCAAGATTTTAAAATGCACACCTCTGTTCTTCCTCCTCTGATGTCCTGTACTTTGTGGTAACTTTACCAGCTACCCTCAAACTCTTCCTTAAAACTGTCCTTTCCCATAAATCCTGCAGAGGGTTACACTGACTGTCAATATGCTGTAACTCCTACATACCACAAAGTAAAGGAAAGAACTGGCTTCCCTTAAAAAGGCTGTGTCTCTGCTCAGCACCTTTTCTCACCAAACATAACACACAGTAGATGGTTACCGATTCACGACCAAATCAACTATCAGTGTCCAGAGGCTAACAAAACCCGGGAACACAGGAGTGAAACTCTGTCAAGGTTTTCCACTTGGAAGATTCACAATTGCCAAGCTTCATGTCCCTTCACCTCACCTGTCCCTAATTTTACACCTTCTCTACTGCTTCCACTGTTTTGACTCCTACTCTTGTTACCTCCTACTTCTCCATGCATCCTATTACATCCATCTGCAGACTTCTCACCCTTACCCAAAACTCTTCCCTGGCACCTGCTTCCCATCTTCCAAAGCCCTCTGCAGCTGTGCTGCCTTGCAGCAGCCTCCCAGCTCTAGCAGGTTTCCCACCCAGGAGAGATGGGGAACTGGGTAACCCTGTTCTCCCTTTGAGCATCCCTTTTCCTCACATTTTCCTAACTGTTCCTAGGCCACAGGCAATTCCTTCTGAGCACACCCTTCACCCGTGATCTTTCCATCTGCTGGTCTTACCACAAAACTCTTTGCTAAGGCAGACTCAGTCATTACAGCTCAGGCAAGACTTTTAACCTCTAGTCTTTGCCGTCAACGAACCTTGTCACAGGCAAAAAAGAAAACCAGCTGAAGTTGTGAGTGCTACAGGTGTAGAAATGGTGATAACCGGATGCATGTGCGGGTCAACGTCCCAAACCTGCCTTCTGAACCCCCACGGCCGGTTGCAGGTTTCGGTTGCACCGGGCTGAGGGCACGCGCGCTGCTGGGATAGGAAAGGGGGGGGTGCCGCTCCGCGTCCCGCCGTCACCGCGGAGACCGCCGCACGGCCCCAGCACCGCAGCTACGGCGCCGCTAACGGCGGCCTCAAGATTTCCTTTTCCCCAGGGCACAGACCTCTTCTCTCAGTTTCCCTGCCTAGCCAATTCTGAGTTTGTGCAGGGTTAGAGCTGCTTCCAGAACATCATTGAGGAAGCCCACCATAAACCTGTTCAGGTTAAGCACCTTTCTCAACACCATTTCCTTGTTCTTTGACTACAGAAGAAAACAAGAAATGTTTACCTATTACATCAGTATAGACACATGCAAGTGTAGTAAACTTCAGGATTCAGTTCAGATGAACAAATTTAATCCCATCAGAAAGATCAAGCCTACTTTGAAGAAGTGAACCCTTAAATAGCAACCTGTTCCATCCAAGGGAGGTGGAACAAAAATTTGTACAAAGTTACAAAAATACATCAAAGGTTTATTTTCCCTGTGAATATCAAGAGTTTCTTCTACATGTTGGCAGGATATCTCTTGCAATCTAGTAACCAGAAGATTAAAATAAAGCTAGGCTGGCCAAGTTCCCCATGCCAGATTTGAAGCCTTACTATGTTTTCCTTAATGTTGAATGCAAACCCTGTGCTACCAAACTAACTTAAAACCTGTATCCACTACACTCCTTTTGGATGGGATCATTAAGAATCTATCCCACATTAGCATGGAGGGAATTAAACTTGTGTATTGGTAAATAACCTGGAGGATTATGTTCTGTATTGTCCCCAAGAGGTAAAAACCTGATGAAGTTCTTTACAGCTGGTTTGTTTGGGAGTTTTTTGACTGCAACAATGTCATTAACAATTCCTATCCACTGTGATAAAAATGAGATATAAAAACATATTGTCTGAAAATACCTGGATTTTAATTTTAGTCATTGCAATTAGCAGAGATTATTGTAAATGTGTATTTTTAAGTGCAGAGTGTCAGACAGAAATATAATATTGAACATAATATCTAATATATTCCACTAGTCGATTCAAATTTATGGTTTTTGCATACACGTGTGTAATTTCAGTGCATTTACATGCCTTATAACAGCTAATCCATGCTTTGTATTATAGCAAAGTTCTAATGGCCCAGTGAAGAAGTCTATGCGAGAGAAGGCTGTGGAACGCAGGAATATTAATAAAGAGCACAACAGTAACTTTAAAGCAGGATACATTCCAATTGATGAAGACCGTCTCCATAAGACAGGCTTACGTGGCAGGAAAGGCAACTTGGCCATTTGTGTGATTGTTCTTCTTTTTATTTTGGCTGTCATCAATCTGATTGTGAGTATACTACTTAGCCTGTAAGCAACATTAGGACGTATTTCCTTTTGATGGTTTATTAGAGAAATAAAACTTACTCCAGTATGGTTGAGAAGGGCTAAAAATGTACTGAAGATTTCTTATTTTTCTCCTTTCTTTTTCATTCTTTTGTAGTCTGAGCATGGTTAGATGGAAGAATCTTATAAGTTTAGTCATGATTATTTCAGTTAGTGTGGTCCCAGCATGGAACCTGTCATTTATGCAACACAGAATGAAAGCGTCTCTCCATTCCCAAAACTCAGTACCAGCAAATGTGCAAAGTGTTATTTGTGCAGTGTAAATGCATTCGGCATAAACTGTTATGCCCGGAACATTTTACATACAATAACAGAGCATTCAGAATTAATCAGCCAGTGCACTTCAAAGCTTCATTGTTGTAATTGCCACCTTTTTATTGCTTCATCGGCGAGAAGAAATGAATTATTATTCATAACTGGATATCCACCTGTGAAAGTGCTTTCTTGTAGTTCAAGGGTAAGTATATCCTGAGCTGAGGTACTTTGTTAAGGAAATTTGTTTAGCTCATGATACCATGGTTACCCTTAAACAGGAAAAAGATTTAATTATGGATGTGATTTAATTTCAGATACATATGTATATATATATATTATATAAACACAAATTATTTTAGTTACCATTTCAGATGAGTCTAAAAATCATGTAAAATGCTTTTCATAATTAAATGTGTTCTGATATTTCCAGTAGGAAATAAACAGACTAAAGTAAATTCACACCTAAAGCTCACTTAAACACTAGCGTTAATAACTATTTCAAGCAAAACATCTAGTTAATACAATAATCATTGTGGGAAGATCCAAATGATCAAAGCAATCTTTGAAAATGTATGTTTCTCTTTCAGATTACACTAGTTATCTGGGCAGTGATTCGAATCGGTCCCAATGGTTGCGACAGTATGGAATTCCATGAGAGTGGCTTGTTGCGCTTTAAGCAAGTTTCTGACATGGGTGTTATACATCCATTATATAAAAGCACTGTAGGAGGCAGACGTAATGAAGATTTGGTGATCACTGGAAATAATCAGCCTGTAAGTTATATTGTGAATTGAAAGTGTGTGAGCAACACTATAGAATTATAATATTAATAAACATTATATTTGAAACATCATTAACTTTATGACTTTGTTTCTGAAGATTGTATTTCAGCAAGGAACAACCAAGCTTAGTGTGGAAAAAGACAAAACTTCTATTACCAGCGACATTGGCATGGAATTTGTTGACCCACGGACACAAAATACCTTGTTTAGCACAGACTATGAAACTCATGAGTTTCATCTGCCAAATGGAGTTAAAATCTTAAATGTACAAAAGGCCTCTACAGAGAGGGTATGTCTCTTTTAACTACCACTTACATTTTGGAAAAGCTCCTTACAGAATTACTTTCACTGTAGAATAAGGAAAAAATTTACTAATCCGATCTTCCAAGCATATTTAGAAATTTGATTAAATGTAGCTAAAAATGCAGCTCTGAAAATGTAAATCACCATAAATATTAGAACAGAAATTAAAACTAACATTATTAATTGATTATAAAATTGAGAATACCACATCATCTAGGCCTGGGTGTCTTTTTATTAAGCATTTGTCCGTTTGTGCATGGATAACTGTTTCAGAAATAAAATTTCTGTTAAAAGCTTCTCTGTTTCTAGTAAGATCTTACAAAAAAACAATTACCAGAACTTCATGTATCATTTTCCTTCTATTGGAGATAAATGTTAATACAACCAGAATTTCAGAAGTCTGAGTAAAAGTGTAGAGAGCAATCACAGCGTTATAAGATTTGTTTCAGTTCATGGCTTCTAGGTTAAAGGAGATCTTAGTTTGGTTTCTACATTAAATACACTTTATTTATCAGAAAAATAAAAAACCTAAATGTTGGTGTGTGTACATTTAAAATTATCTTAATGGCAGACTAAAATTTCTCGCCTATCATGAGTCATAATAAAGGCTTTACAGATAGAGTACAGCACATAGTTCTTTTGTGTAAGTAGAGCCAGATCAGTGGTTTTATAGAGGGTTGAGTGTGTCTTAGGAAGCACTGAGCAATCCTGCTAAGGACAAAGAGAATTTAGTTTTCTTCTTCCTTTTGTTTCCTCTGCAAGGCTAACAATTAAATAGTATGTTCCAGAGAACAAACAAACAAACCCAACAAACAACTCCAAACCTATAAATACATAGGAGGAACAGATTAAATGAAAAGAGTAAGTTTACATAGTAAGTCCTAACAGGAAGCCTATATTTGCTACAAGTGTTAACTGCGTATCCCATAAAATTGTCATATGAATTGTTATTTTTATCACAAAAATAAACTATTTTACATACCTTCCAAAATTAAGTAATCCTTGATTTTAAATGCGAATGTGGAATATAACAAATGGGCAGAAATAGGAATAATGACAGAAGAGCAAAAAGTACATTGAAGTTTTTCATTAAATTGTGTAGTAATATTTTAAAAGTAATTAGACAAACCCAAGTGACACATTTTCATTGATCTGTAATGCAGTTCTGTTGTTTATGTTCTTAGATTACCAGCAATGCAACCAGTGATCTAAACATAAAGGTCGATGGCCGTGCTATTGTCCGTGGAAATGAAGGTGTTTTCATCACAGGCAAGACCATTGAGTTTCGAATGGGGGGTAACATGGAACTTAAAGCAGTAAGTATTTAGAATCATCATTTTTTGAACAGCTTGGTTTCAAATTCAGGCTGATAATGAACTGATGGAGCTTTATAGGGTTTCAAATTTTATATAAAATAGTCATGCATGAAAGTTTAGTTGCAGTCAGTGTATTTAGTAGGATTTTATAAGATGTTTTATTACTTTGCTGTTAATTAGTGGTTCAGTAGTTTTTGGGTAACAATGATTTAATACTGTTAAGACAGTAAAAACCCACAATGCAATTAAAGCTACAGTATCAGCCTCTGCACTGAAATGAATACCAAAGGGAATTAATCTTCTCTTCTGGAGGCTTTACTGGGGTCAGCAAGCTTTGACAGAGGAACAGAGCATACAGGTAGGAGCACTACCTTCTGTGCTGCCACAGGAAGACTTGCCAGCATTCATTTAAGATTTGTGGAGATTGTTAAGATTGAAGGGCATGAAGGAGGGTAAAAAAATAGATGCATGCACTTTTATTTCATATGTGAATGTATTTCATGTATGAATTCAAACAATGATTCCCATTTCAAGTCCATATTTTTAGATTTACTGCATTTGCATAGGTGTGTAAAGTGAAAAGCCACACTACTGCTGTCTCTCTCAGTACTGATCTATCATTGGAATAGCAAAGTACATTGGGGACTAGAATTGAGAAATTCATGTGTGTTACTCACAAATTTAATTAAAAAATGAAACCTTGTCATCTGTACTTTTTTATTCTCTTGATTTCTACAGCCATCCTAAAGATGTAATTTATTTGTTAAACCAGCTTGTCCTTTTCAAAAACAACCTGCCCTGCATAAATTGGAAGTTATACCTTTTTTTCTCCCCTGACAGGAAAACAGTATTATCCTGAACGGAACTGTGATGGTCAGCCCATCGCGACTGCCAAGTTCCTCTTACGGGGAACAGTTTAATAATGGCAACTGGTTGCGTTTCAAGCTCTGTATGTGTGCGGATGGGACACTGTTCAAGGTTCAGGTGACAGGTTATAACATGGGTTGTCAGACTTCTGTCAATCCGTGTGGAGCCACGCACTAAAACACAAACCACTACTGGGAGAGTTCTCTTTTGCATTTACATATATTTGTATGGAGTAATTGCATGCCTTTGAGGATTTCTGGTTTTGCAGCAGTTTATACTAATATTTATTACATAATATTTTTAAGCAAAGGTCATTACATTCAGCCGTATTATGTCATCATCCCGTTATAGTGGCACTGTAATAGTGGTACTGATTTAGGAAGCTTTCCGTCGACATACATACTGAAGTACCTTCCCAAATTGTGATTGGTAGAAGACATTTAAAGAGCGTGATCTTAGCAATCATCTTGACTCCCTTCAGCTGCCTTTAGAGGAGGTGTTTGTCCTACATCCCAAGACCTCAAGGGCTGCTGAGAACACAGCTGTGATCTGAAGTACTTCAACAGGAATGTCGATTTGTTGTTGGAAGTGGATTTGCCTAGGATGCCTGAAGTGGCAGATTTTTGTCTTCTTTTCTTGCAAAGGCTGGCATAATGATTTTCCCCCAAATTATGTGGTTTATATCATATGTGTACTAAGAGAGGGGTAATGGCAGATTCACTTTAAAATACTGCATTAATTCTGTCATATATTCTCATGTAGTTAAAAAAAAAAATTATGCTAGCATACATAGTATTTGCAAAGTAACATCAAGTGTGGAAATGTAACTTCAATTTTGAAATATTCCTGCGATTCCTGAAGTGTTGCTTGAGCTCATTCTGTGCTGTTTAGGCATTCTACAACTGCATAATTTATGTGAAGTATTTATAAAACATGTTTATATTAGAAGTACATTTTTAAAGATGTATTTACAACTTGCTCACTACCCAAAAAAACTTTTTCTGGGTGCTTTAATGTGATCTGTGTATGAATCTATTATTCAACAGGTAATAATCTAAAGCATGACTCTTACAGCAGGGTCTCAGATCAGATCTCTTTTTCCCCATAAACATCAGTACTGATGCATTACTGAGAACCTCAGAATTAAATTCTGAAGTTAACCTGCAGCTCTGTAAATCTAAATGTGATGGTATGGGATCCTATGACAGCAGAGTAAATACTTGTGTATCTGAATTTACCAGTGGTGAAACTGTGTCTATGCTAAACAGGGGCCTTACAAAACTGTTAAGGCTTTGTAACTGCTTTTGCAGAGGTAAGGTGTTCTGTACTAAAAATAGACCAGCTCAGTCTAAGTTTCCTCTTTTCACCACCCCATATATTTCTTCAGTTTAAAATAGTTATGTTTTGCAGTAGCATCAAGTAACCTTAATGACAAAGACACAAAGGTGACTGCAAGTAGCTTTTTGACAAGTTTTTCTAAATAAGCACACACTTCTCTTCCTAAAAGTTGTGCAAATGTTACACATTAACTCCAGAACTGGTCATTTGTTGTGGCAAGATAAACTTATCTATCCTTATTCTATAGCTCTCAAAGTACATAGAATTCCACAAAATACAAATCAGCTCCTGCTGCAACAAGAACTTCATATGTAAGGTCCCACTTCCTGTGCTTACTAGAAGTCAGTAAGTCCTCATGCAGGATCTGTAGGGGTGGAAGTGATTTCTAGAGGTCAGGCATTACACCACATGGGAAGTCAGTGGGGTCACATTTTCCTCATTGCTCAGACAGAGCCAGATTTTGATGCTCAGTAGTTGCTGGGGTTTTGGGGGGTGGACAGCAGTAGAGCTGTTCTAACAGCAACAGAATAAACAGAATAAAGTGTAGCAAAAGCCATTGAATTGCTCACACTAAAGATTATGGGAATAAAGTACTAACGTTTTGCATACTACCTTCATGAACTTCACTTTTACTGGAGGTAATATTTACTAACAACTTCAACACACATTTTGCTGAAACACACACATCTTTGCTGCTAAGTAGTGCCTCAGTATCTTATAATTAAGAGGAAGAAATAAACTATAGCTTTTTTAGAATTTTCATTCTCATGCTACTGGAAGTTTGTCACTTTATTTTTATCTATATAAATATATATACACACACCCATAGAAACATAAGCAGCAGTATCCTGAAAGCTGAAATAGACCTTGAAAATGACAGATAGTCCCTTGGTCAAGTAGATTACACACAAAGAGCATATTGAAGCTCTTCTCCGGTTAACACTGACATGCCTATATGCTACTATCGGACTCTTGTAATTATCAAGAGTTCTGAAAATACTGTCTGCAACACAGCTGAAAGATCTGTCACAACGGTACTCTTAAATTATGGTCTGGATAATTGGTTTTGATGTGTGGATTTTTTTCTCAAAACGTAGTGAAACTGATCATACAAATACCAAATGAAATAAATTAGCAATTTGTTAGCCACTATTTTTATATTCTTATTTTGTTGCCTTCACTATAGTTTTGAGTAATGTTGGCACCACACATGCCTTGTATTGTGCATTTATTATCTTCTGCCTAATGTGCATTTTTCTATACGTATTTATAAAACATTGTGTGGCACGTTATTTATTTCAATTCCACAGATGCACTTAAGATTCCATGTGTTTAAAGTACATTCTGCATGCCTCTGTAAAACACGATACTGGGTGTGTTGAAACAACTTATGTGTGAACAGTTCTCAGCATATGTAAAGGTTGTTTCAACAGGTGAAAGACAATTGTATTTGTAATCTTTGTTTTGAAATGAAATAATAAATTCTAAGATGCAGCTATTGTTCACAAGTATTATGTGTAAGAGTATAGTTTTTCATTAAAGATACATTGTTGTGTTATTGACAGAGAAGCCAGTATTTTATTAACTGTAAGTATGAAAATCATTCCACGTCTATTAGTCATGAATTGTATCTGGTGGACTTTGCTCAGTGGTAATTGTGTGTGATACCTGAAGCAGAGTTCAAAAGTCTCCATTGTTGTTAGTTCACGAGTTTCTAAGAAGCTGCGTTTCTCGACTGAAGGGCTGGAAAAGAAAGAAAAGGTTTGGATTGTTTTTTGGGAGAGGTGGAGGGAGGGGGAAGATTACCAGTTTCTGAATGTTCTTTCTGAAACATAACTAAGACTCAAAAACTGAATGTTTAAGGCAGAACATTGGTAATGCTTTGGGTATTTGTTTAGCATAGATTTTTTTTTAATGTCAAAATACTTCCGCTTACCATTTAACTCTTGTTATGCTGAACTTACCATAATTTTGAATTTTACATATAGATTAACTATGGATAACTTTCACTTGAGTGTCATAGCTGTGATCCTTTACTTCAGTCTTCTTGGATCAGTGGGAACCAAGTCACAGCAGATCCTTCTTGATACACATCACTATTCAGACTGCCGGTGGGATGGGGAGTTCTTACTGAACTGTTCTTTTACTGGAATATCTACTATTCCAGAAGATGTATTACAAACAGCAATAACAGCTGATTTTAGTTACAATAATATTCAAACTTTTCTGTGCACTGATGGAAGAAATGAGGAACGGATCCTAAAACACCTGAATCTCAGTAACAACCTGATTTCTGAACTCTCCTTAAGCACTTGTAGAAATTTACCCGTTTTGGAAACTCTAAACCTCAATGGTAATGCCATCCACACCCTCACACTGGACATACCTATGCCTGCACATGGGTCTAAAAAGTATAGAAAAGTTGATCATCTCCTGCCTGCTTTGGAAGTTTTGTCAGTTGAAAGAAATAATCTTAATACAGTTCCAAGAGGTAAGCATTTCAAAATCTTTTAAGGACTTCACTCCCAAGGGGTAAGTTGGTTTTAGATATGATTTGGTACATCTTACTGAATTCAGAATGTAGCTATCTGATTTAGTTATACTTCAGGTGAGGGAAAGTTCCACCTGTGTGCAAATACAGAGACTGAAGCAAATGTGTTGTTCTGGATTAGGCTGGGGCTTTTATTCAGTCTTTGCAATCAGAATGCCTTATGTCAGCCAAATATAACCAAATTTATCCTCTGAGAGCTCAAACAGTATTTTTCCTTGTTGTATAGAAAGGGAAGTAAGGATCTTTGGAAAAAACACCAGCCTCCCACAACCCAGTCATGAATCTTAACATCAAGAAAATTACGGATAATGTATTTCATACTACCCTTCAGAAGAAAGTCAATACTCTTTGAAATAAAACTTGCTCCGATTTCAGTATTTCACAAAGACAGGAAAATATATTTTGTTTGGTTGAAACAATTTTGATCTATGACATCTGACTCCCAACCCAAGTGACACCTTCTAGTAACCAGAGAGGGCTGTAAGGTTTTGACAGACTTTTAGAAAGTGTTTGTCACTTGCCAGGCATCATAGCCCCTAGGACAGCCTGTGTCCTCATAAACAATGATTCACATGGTCCAAACTGTTTAAATGAAGCAGCAGCTGCAGTATGAGCAACACTATATATTGTTTGCTGAATTTGACTGATCTCTGGTAACATCATCAGATTCATTAGCTCTAGATTTTGAAAATACTGGGGGGTGGGGGGTGTCAAACTAAAACCCACTTATCTCACAAAGTCAGACAAAGGGAAAAATTTTGCACCTATACAGGGTCCTTGAAATTCTGTTTTTCTCCTTTTTTTATACTAAATAATTATCTGGCATGCAGGAAACCATTTTGTACTATCTGTAAAGTTCCCATATAGACAGTATAGAAAAGCTTATATTATAAAATACATTGATGCAGATGTGATTTGTTTTGATAAATATAAATGCACATTATAGAATGCCTCAGTAGGTCAGACAGAACAACCCTTTTCTGTAAGAGATTCAATTTTTAGATGTTAAAAGTCAAACTGCTATGCATCATACTTCAAGTTATACTTAAATCCCATATTCATTTAAATACATGTTCAGAACTTTATTTCACTCCTCCAAAATACTTCACTAATGTTCTAGTTTTTAAGCTCTGGTAAGAAAACACAAACTGAAGTTCTAAAGCAGAGGACTTTGGCCACAGAGAAGCCCTTCTTACAGCTGCCCCCCAACATGTCAGGCTGTTGCCCACTGCTGCCATACCAGTGTATATTTCTGACACAAATTTAGCTACAGGGAAGCATCCAAACTATAATTCCTCATGCAGGTGCAAGGAAAAATGTATGAACTGCCAGAACTTCTGGATGCCTTTCCAATCAGCTACTTCGAGTTTCCCTGTGCTTTTCACGATAAACCCAAAGATCAATTACTCAGCAAACAGAACAGCAAACTGAAATAAGAGACTCCCAGTGAAGCAGATGACATGAAGGGCAACATTTTTAAGGAGAACTAGTAGCTTCTCAACAGTGTGGTATGATCCAAAATCACTTTAGAGTGACATCCAGATGCTACAAACTGTGGTGATGCTGAGTGTTCCAGTGCCTGCCTTCCCACTGGAACTTGCAGGCTGAAGCTTAGGGGCTGCCTGCCCAGCACCTAAGAAAAATGAGTTATCATCTCCAGCATTCAAAAGGGCTACTTCTGCAAGACAGATGCTGTTGTAACTAGGATATGGCGAAGAATATACTGTCATGCTTGATAATTCACAGGCAGACTGGCATAAACAACAACACGTTTTTGTTCTCAGTCAGGTTTACATCCTACAAATACAGTTCAAATAATTCTACATACAAAAAACTTCTGTGAACTTTCAATGGCAATGAATAGGAAATATTGTATCACCTTTTGCATCTCCATCTTTTATTTACAATTAACATATTTGGATTTCATAAACTAAGTATATTCTCCAGAGAAGCATGCTCAAAGCACAGAGATCATGGTCAGAATAATTTTGATGGCATGAAGGAATGTTTCTGCTTTTATAGAGATGTGGATTTTTAAAACATGCATTGATTGTGAATGTATTAGCATGCCTGCTGTGGATGCTACGCAACTTTTAGAATGGGACATCCATGAATAGGAAAGGCATAATAACTCAAAGCTGGCAGTCACTTGTTGAAAAAGACAGGAATGGAAAGATTTTGTGGCAAAGAATTTAAAAAAGCCACTTGACACAATTGGGAAAACAAAAACATGAAATGTAAAATAGTTTTGTTCTTCCTAGGACTAGGCCTGCTGCAGTCTTTACAAACTGTCCATATGTCATCCAATGGCATACAACAGATTGATGTGAATGATTTTCAAAACTGTTCACAGCTGAAGGACATCAACTTGCAAAACAACAAGATAACTAAAATTCATCCAGACGCCTTCAGAGATCTCAACAAATTACAGGTTGTAAAGCGGTGTGACAGTGGTTTCAATGTTTTGTGTTAATCACCATTAGAGATATTATCAAATATTCAGCATGATTATATTGGTCTTCGATTATTATACTAGTATGCAATTATAAAAACTAAAGCAAATGGTGAAAATAATTATTTTTATATAATATATATTTGCTTTTCATATATAGGAAAACACACACTTGTAAATATACAAAATATAACAATAAATTCACCATTTATCTATGTCACAAACCAATCCATAACTGGCTTGAACACACACACATCCTTTTCTACTTCCCATCTCTTCCATGGTGAGAGCCCTGTGGCTTGCCATTCACAGAGAGGTAGTCTACAATGGGAGAATTCTAAATAGACCACAATTTAAACTTTTAATTCAAATTTAAAAGCTTAGAACAATATTCTTGAAATCCTAACCATATGTATTGTTTCCATAACTGCAAAAGTGCTTGTCTACTAAAATAAATATTATTGTTGATATTGCAATTAGGATTCCATTGTAAGGAATATCAAATTAATTCTAATTATTTCCAAATAGATTGTGGATCTCCGTGAAAATGCTCTGACAATGCCTCTACCACAGATACTAATCAGTCTGAACTTCTTTCAACTTGAAGTGGATTTGTCAAATAATGCCTGGATATTTAACTGCAGACTAAATGCTTTCAAACATGTATTTAATTTTCTTTTTGACTCTATGAGGAAAAAATTGAGTATTTCATACAATAAATCTGCCACCAACCCACAGAAACCTCTGCTGTATCTTTCAAGCTTCCATTTAAACTGCAGAGACAGTGTTTTGCTCAAGACGGCTGTAATCCCAACAGGGAAGACATTACTGCTAAACTGTGATTTAGACAACACAAGAGGTATGTAAAACAGGGACTCCATCCATATGCTGCTAAAATTCACATGCATGCAGAATGATCACAGAAGTCTGGTTTAAAAATTGGATTTCTAAAGATACCATTTAAAAATAACTGAACAACAATTTCTTCCATCCAGAAGTAGTATGCATACCAGTTAGAATATTTGAAAGTCATGTTTCCCAAAAAAAGTCTTCATCTCCATCCTTACATTAAACTAATAAGCAATGCAAACTTATACACAAATAAATTTCAGTAAGTAGTATGTTGCAAATTTATCAGTTAATTTTGGAATGCAAACAAAGGACCGAATAGTGGGGTGGCACTTCAGGGGCATGTAGAAACCCAAGAAGGATACAACAGCATTTCTAGTATTCAATGACAGAAAAATGAAATGAAAGTTTATTTGTAAGGAAAAGGTTTTATATTTATTCTAAAAAAGTACAGCTACTGTAGCACACAGTTCACTTAGGAAATTAATTCAGCATTTACAATTAATACAGAGCACTTGAAGTACAAGTGACAAAATCTACAGAGCTGACTTCTCATGCAGAAGGAAAACTAAGCCCAAACTTAAGAGTAGAAGGTGTATTTGTCATGTGCCATAAGGCAAAATGGTTTAACTCTAATGGACTAACAGCACTATGAGATAGTAAGGCTTTCCCCTTGGAACACTTTAACCCCAAATGAAAAATACATAGGGTCTATCAGAAGTGTCTCCTGCTTTGTCTATTATCAAGGAAAGTCATGGAAACTCTGCCCATGGGATTAAAATCAACACACTGGATTGAACCAAAACTTAACCGGGCATGCAAGCAGACCCAAACGCAAAGGTGTACATACAACCTTAAACATATTCCAAAAGCCAACAACCAGCCATGGCCTACACTAGCTAAAGTTCAGAAGAATTGCTTGGTAGATACAAATATCCTTGGTTTTCAAACCTTTTTGCTGCAGTTAAAGCAGTAGTACAGGAAAACCACAGTGGTCAAAACACTGACAGTTAACTAGTGAGGTTTTATTTCAGTTGCACACAGTGACCACGGCCATACTAGAGAATAGCTGGCTATAAATAGGGATCTTCCACCAGGGAGATCAGATGTTTCTAGTATGATCCAGAACATACTTAGATAGTGTCAGTGACCACCTCCCTCATGCCATTTTTCTTGTGAAGTCTGCTATTAAGACCCCATATGTACTGTGTTTTAAATGGGGGAGGGGGGGGGACACCCATATAATGGTTTAACAGATATTTGGTACCATGTAAAGTGACTATGGATGGACAAAAATAAAATGGATTTTATAATAGTTAAAATTAAAAAAAATAGGTCATAGAAAAGTCAAGATAGGTAAAGGAATAACTTGACCCTGCAAACCAAGTATCCTATGGTTTTAAGAAAAAATTGATTTGTACTTCCTTTTATTTCAGGTAACGGAGTCTCTTGGTGGACACCTAAAGGCAGAATTTCAAAAGATAATAGTCTTCCTCATATGACACTGGGTAAAATGAATAATTTAGTAATATACAATGCTGAGGAAACTGCTGAAGGGTTATATTCGTGTATTTTTAATACAAGAAAGAAGAAATATCTCATTTACAATGTACAGGTGAAAAAAAGGGTTTCAACATTTTTGGTTAGAAAAACTCGAGACACTAACACTGTTTTTAGACAAGGAAGAACACAGCAAGACCTTGCATTGGCTGTCTGCCTCTCAGTGCTCATTACGTTTGTTTGTGCTTTTTGTCTGGGTGTTTTTGCTAGACCCTACCTTGTGAGCCTGTGGAGACTCATGCACAGGAACAAAAATTCAGGTTCAGAACATACATATTCTAATCAAGCTTTTTCAGATGAAACCTTGAGCAGAGAGTGCTCTGCAAGGAAATCTACAAATACACAGTGTAATCTGTTCATTTGTGATGAGAATTCTTCAAGAAACACGTGCATTTTTCCAACAGAAACTTCTGCTTTGCATGAAAATGTCACTGGTAGCAGTATACATGCACCAAATACTGGAGAAGAGTACCAGAAACCAATCAATGATGAGATCAATGTGAAGAAAAAACCAGTGTTTTCAGACCACAAAACTAGTACCAGCAATGATGAAAATATAAATGTAGATGATAATAGACTATTTTCTGGAAGGATGTATTATAAGAACAGCACTGAAGTAACACCAAGAAAACTAATGAGTGATGACATTTCATTACGGAAAGGTTCAAAATATGCAAATAATGAAGACTCAGAGAAGAGCAGGTTCCCTTCCATGCCCAGGAGATTGAATGCTGACTCTTACTCAAGTCACACTGACTCTTCAGATTTAGATTTATCCTTCTTGAGAGGAACTGGCTTTCCATCTTCCACAATACAAATGCATACAGTTGCACAAGATTCTAGGAACAGCAAGGTAAGCAACAACTCTAGTCTGCTGCAGTCTGAAATCACAAAGGCTACACCAGATTCTCCTGAAAGAAAAGGTATCGTTTCACATAATGAATGCACGACTGCTACAAAATTTATGCCTGGAAGACAAAGCTGTGATGAACAACTCAGTCTAAAAAGCAACATAAACATAACCAGTGATTTTATTTTACCCAGCAGCTGCAAGAGAGATACAAATATTGAGAATTTAAGTGTCTACCAACCAGTAGAAAACTCTCCTCTTACAGAATACAACTGTAAAACAGAACATACAAATGAAAAAGATGCTTCAGCAGACATATTTGGTGACAGTTCTTCAGATGAAGGGACTCCATTCACAATGAGTGACTGTAGTTCTTTAGCGGACTTTGAACTGGAACAACCTGATGTTATTGACAACCTGCCAGTCTGTCAGTCATCACTAGAGGAAGCTGATATCAACAGTGGAACTGAATTCTCAACACTGCCAGGGTCTCCAAACAGTGCTGCTAAACTTCAGCATACTGGGAAAAATGAAGACAAAAACAATGTGTACTTTGAAACCACTATTAATTATGGATCAGATACCATCATGCCTGAAACAGCATCACCTTACACTAATCAATGTAGTGACCATGGAAGCATGTCAGATTCAGACACAATTTGTTCTTCAAGTCAAGAAGTTCCTGATACACTTCATTATTTTACTGACAAAGAGTCAACAGTGCAAAACTCTATTTCTGATTCTCTCCACAATCAAAATACAGATTTTGGTAATCTGTTACTTTCATTAAAACATTCTCCCACATATGACACAGATATAGAGAACATTCCTGAAGAGGCTAAATTGCAGCTGTCTCAGTTTCCCATTGAACCTCAGCATTCCCTCAGCTTCACTCCCACTGAACAAAAAGAAAATGCACCAGAGAGAAGCACAGACGAGCACACAGAGAGGAATTCCTCTGAAAAGAATCATGATGAAGGGGACATGACCTTAAGAAGAAACATGAGTACATTTGAGGATGATGATTTTATTTTTGCTCGCATTGACACCGGTTTGAATGAAATTGTTAAAAAACCATCACTACCATATTCTAGCAACGAGTCATTTCTTCAATCTCTGCCTGAACACACAGCTGAAAAACATTTTACAGTTATTACAGAGAAAGATGACTTGCTACCACAGGGGAAGCAGGTGAGCACAACTAAGACTTGTATAGATAAAATGCAAAGAGGTTTTAATGAGCAAAACTGTGATAGATACACAGAACTACAGGATACCAGCAACTGTAGTCTGCCTGAAGAAACACAGTCTTGCAATCTTACAGATGATTTGCTGCACCTTCACTCTTTTCAAAAAAACCAATCCGTCTTCCACACAGTAGATCATTTCCAACATGATCAGAGCGATGAAGATGCATATTCCTTCTCAGTCCCAAAATTCTTCAATGAAAGCACACAACATAGTTCATGTTCTTTCCCACAAAAAAATACAGGAAATACATCGTCCAAAAGCACTGATTCCAGCAAGACAGAGGACAATACTACTTTAACAGGACTGGAGAACAATTCTACAACAGCTGTCAACCTCCAAAATTCAAGTGAAAAACTCAGTCAAAGAAGTCAGACCAATTTAGGAGAGAGCCAGTTTTTTGTTAAGAAGAAAAGAGCATTTGATGGATTTGCTAATGTTTTGCAAAGCAGAACAAACATCAGTAGTTGAGACACAAAACTGTAACACTAAGCTCTCAGATAGCTGTCATATAGTAGGTGCAAAAGTGATCATGTCTTAAAATGAAGTGTGTAGCTTTCAGTAACTGTTAAATACCATGGATTGTTCTTGGTTAGGTTCCCCCCACCCCCACCCACCCAGTACAACTATCTATCTGCCTTTAACTTCAAAAATCCAAGTTATGGAACTAGATGTGGAGGTTTTAAACCCAGCCAGCAGCCAAACACCACGCAGCTACTTGCTCACCCTCCCCTGCCCAGGGGATGGAGGCAAGAACTGAAGGGGTAAAGGGAAACTCATAGGTTGAGATAAAAACAGTTTAATAATTGAAATAAAACACTAACAGTAATAGAAAGTACAAACAGGTAACGCACAACGCAATTGCTCACCTCCCACACCGACTGCTACACAGCCTGTTCCTGCCTAGAGAGCTCAAAAGACCAAGATTCTGCAATTGCAATCATAGAAGTGAGAGAAAAAACCCTACTTTCCTGCCACCCCCTCCTTTATATATTGAGCATGATGTTTTATGATATGGAATATTTCATTGGCCAGTTTAGGTCCAGTGCTCTGGCTGTGCTCCCTCCCAGCCTCTTGTACACCTGTGTGTGGGCAGGACGTAGGGAGTTGGAGAGTCCTTGATCTCTTAGCAACAACCGAAAACATCAGTGTATTATCAACATTCTTCTCATACCAAATCCCATACTGAATTCAAAACAGAGCACTATTCTAGCTACTAAGAAGAAAAATTAACTCTATCCCAGCTGAAACCAGGACACTAGACTTAACAATGAGATGCAGAAAACCTGCATCCATACAGTTTAAAAACACCGTAATTCCACAAGGTAATTCAGGCCAGAAGCCATGGACTTTTGTTTAGAAGGGTATTTGTAAAACAAGAATAGATATTATAAAACAACTCTAGGATACTCAAATGAGTAAACTACTCAGTAGTTATAACTGATAATAAAGCTTTTGTTGTAATTATAAATTGTATATTTATAAATTGTAATTATAAAAAAGAAATATATATTTACTTTCTCATTATTGTTGGTACCAAGATATTAGTTTCCCTTAGAATTCGCCTCTAATATGCACTGTTTTGTTTCTTTTCATCTAAAATAAATGTGACACTGAAATTATCATTACATTATTACTATTATTGCATTTCCCTGTGGGACTCACCCTATACAGTGAAATAGTATCATCTTCTGCTTTTTGAACCAAATTTGTGAATTAAGCATCTCTGAATTCCCCCAGTTTTGCAGAGATAGGAAGAGTCCAAGCAGTATTCAATTAAATTTTAAATAAATACTTTTTAACAAAACAAAATCATTATTTCTCAGAGAAACAGAATAGAATTCAAACCTTGCAGAAAAGTGAGTTATGGAGATCTAGCTACTGATGGGACATCACCTGTAGTTTGCAGATACAATGATGTGGGAAGGGTAATTTAAAAGAAAAAAAAAAAAAACAAAAAAAACACAACCTACTACTACTAAGCTGTAATTCCCTATAGAAAAGGATCCTATACCCACTTCAGAATTTTACTGAGAGGGGCAAAACAAGAGCAGCTCAAAACTACTGTGTTAGAACATCAATGGCTTGATACACAGTAACATTTTCTAAAACAAATGATAACAAACGCAAGATACAATTTTCTCTGAATATGGCCCAAGGCCCTTTTAACATACACAGCATCATTGATGTAATCCTTGAAGGGGAATTATCACAAAGGGGAACACACCCAGGGTCCCAGAAAATACAGGAGGCTGGCCAGCAGCTTTGGGAAAATTCCATTATGAAGACACAATTCACTAAAAACTCTAAACAGAAGGAACACATTTCAATTCTGTGAGATGAGGAGCACATCCAGTGGCACAGTACATCTTTGAAACTATCTTTAAAGACAAAACCAGTAAAGAACAAAGAGATGCTGATAGAAGCTAATAATTTTTGTTAGCTTCACATAATTGGAAATAAAAACGAGTATTGCGAAAAACTTGAGGCAAGTAAAAGCAACTGGAGACCAACATTGATATTATTTGATCATCTGAAAAATATTTTCTTTAGCACCTTGAGCTTCTTTTAAATAATTGTTTTACACATCTAACATCACAATTATCACTTATATATTTACTGAGCCAAGTCACTTATGCATAGATCTCTTATTGGTTTGTTTTGGGGTTTTCTCGCTGATTTTATCAAAATCCCTACCATAACTCAGGATAGATTATATGGCAGTTTCAGGTAGGTGCTCCATGGATTTATCCAGGTCACCACAGTGTTTGCAAATAACTGCACTCAGTAACATCTGTAATTCAATTACAAACAATGCATCTGCTGTCACACACACATCTCCTTGCTTTCCACTTAGTTCTTGGAAGATTTCTGTTCTTTTTGCTCCAGTACTCAGCAGTATCTAAATTGCTAACTAAGAAGTTCTTTTAAGAGCAAGTACGAGCTTCATTCCTTTGGTAGGAGTCCACTCAGAAACGAAGGATGAGATCATCTTCGGAAGAAATTGATAATTTGTCATCCAATTATTTATGAGTTTAAGGGTCTGATTTTGTTTTCTGTTTTTCAAACACAGGAAAAAGGTTTATACATTTAACTGTCCAGAACTGTTGATGCAGTCTGAGTAAACAAGAATTGAATGACAAAACACTCAAATCTGCAAAAACTACAGCATTCTTGGAATGTTAAAAATACAGTAACTCTAAAATAATGTTTCCCAATACATCTCATTCCTTGATTCTGTAAATGTCTGTAAATATTACACCCTGGTTCTACTGCAATTTTTCTCTCCTAATCCCGAGTCATGTAATGCCTTGGCTTCTACTGAATTTAAGGCTGCTGTTCTCAAAGAACAGTGTGTGACATAAAAACCAACTGCGTTTTTAGAGGCTGTCTAAAAGTAAAGAACTGGGTAATTTGAGTGTGATTCCTCACACGAAAAGCTACATAGCCACTAGGAGCAGAAAACAGAACTGTATTTCCTCACCACCAGTGCTTTTCTTAACACCCATAACCATCTTTCAGTAAAGCTCATTATACATGGAAGTTACTTGTGGCCAAAGCAACTTTAAAAATGGAATACATAAAAAAGTGCAGACTTGCTCCTTATGGTATACACGAGTCTTCAAACACTGTGTTGACAGATCTCTCCAAGGTCTGTCACCTTTTGCTGTACCAGCTGCTAACAAGAAATCTAACTACATAAGCAAGCCAATTTCATGAGTCATGGGAAAAAAAAAAACCCTGAGTGACTCCATTGACGTCTCTTACACAGCAATGTTTTGTCATTTGTTTCTGCTACAGTCCAGCAGGCTTTCAAAATATATATTGGAAACTTATTTTCTCATCTTTTTTTCTGACTATTGAAATGCTGCAGTAGTAATGCAGACAGTACACTAATTGTGAGAAGCTGTGAGTATTCTAAGTCTCCCTTTATGCCATAAAGTTACAGGAAAAGGTTATCTGCTCTTCTCATCAGAGAAAATAAATTTGCTCCTTCATCAAGAGGTTTTTAGCATGTGAAAAGTACTTCATTCTACTGTCAGAATATTGCTGATGTTCTGTCTCAAACTTACCTTTGGATTTCTGCCTGATCTTTCACCTTTCCTTTGCTACTGATCAGACACTTATTATCACCTGTTCATTCAAACCCAAACACTCAGCTGCTTTTCCTTCATCCTAATGCCTTACTTCATTAGCAATTGCTCTTAAAGCTAATACAAAACCTTTTACACATCTTCTGTGGCTTCCAAGCAGTACTCTTCACACTCTACTCTTCTCCATTCATCCTATTTCTCCATGCCCTTCTGTACACGGTAGCTATACAGTCCCCCACTCAGCAACTCCAAGATTTTATCCACTCACTTTTCTTCACATTTGGCTGATATCCATTATAGTTTGTTTGCACTGAAAACTTGACTGGTTTAGTTGCTTTCATCACTGAGAATTTTCTGGAATACCCATACTAGTACAAAACCAGTTGCAGTTATAAAAGTATGTGTACATTATACAGACACCACCATATTTTTTTCCCCCCTTGCATAGAAGCTACAGTTGCAGAAATGTGTAACTGCACCTGGTCTAGAGATGTTGAAACTTCTTTACTTTCCTCAGTAACTTCAGGTAGCAAAACTTCAGGTAAGCCTTACATTACTATCACAGTCGACAGTGGGTAAACAGACCAAGTCACAGAATAGGCTCAATAAAAAAGGTGGCTGAGAGCATGCTGTATGTATTCATAAATGAAGCATGAGGAGGCAGCCAAGAGGATGCCGGTAATAGTCTAGGCACACCCTTCTCACAGAGCAACATCATGCTGAGCTCCAGGGTTGACAGGACATAGTATCCCTCATACTGTGAATCAGTATAGGAAAAAATACTGAAGTCTTTAGAGTACATCAAAAACTTCAGATACAGTAATCACAATGGAACAAAGCTCTCATTTCCAAACACATATTTATGGTACTTTGATAATTATCAAGTTGTTTGCTCTAGGTACAAAGCACTTCACTCTTTCAAAATATGCTGATAACTGGGCTGGAAAATAACGAATATAAAGGACATTCACATTTAATCTACATATAATTAACATCAGAAACTATCTGGGTAATAGTATTAAAGTTTTCATAGCACAGAAGACTGTGACTCACCCCATCTATAGGCTACATTCTGAGAACTGGTGAAGGCAATTCCAGCCTTCATCACCAACATGAACCTAATGAAGAATGGCTTCTCTGGAACAGGCTCCACATTACAATATTCTAACTGCAACATAAATACATTCAACTTTACATAATATTTTAAGTCAAGAGCCTTAGGAGCCTTAGGACTGGTAGCTCAAATAGTGCAAAATATTTTAAAAAATTATTGTGAAGTCTCTTATAAGTCAAATAATTTAAAAACTTTTCTAAAAAGTAAGAAAAGCACAAGTGTTTAAGGTCATGAACAGACCCTAACATCAAAATATTACCACATTTAAATACTACTAAACTGGTCTTTTCTTTCAGAATTTTATTTGAGTACCTTAAGAGAGAATTTTCTTTAGCATACACTTTTAGAAATCACAGAAGGGTTGAGGTTAGAAGTTATCTTTGGAGGTCATCTAGTCCAACCCTCCTGCTCAAGCAGGGCCACCTAGAGCTGGTTGCCCAGAATCATATCCAGATGGCTTTTGCGTATCTCCAAGGCTGGAGACTCCACAACCTCCCTGGGCAACCTGTGCCTGTGCTTGGTCACCCTCACAGTCAAAAATGGTTTCCTTGTGTTCAGATGGAGCCTCCTGTGCTTCAGTTTGTGCCCACTGCCTCTGGTGCTGCCACCAGGCACTGCTGAAAAGAGTCTGGCTCTATTTTCTTTATACCCTCCATTCAGGTATTAATATACATTAGCAAGAACAGCCCCAGCACCTTCTCTTCTCCAGGCTAAACAGTCTCAGCTCTCTCAGCTTTTCTTCATTGATAGAAGCTCCAGTCCATCATTTTGTGGTCCTTTGCTGGACTCTCTCCAGTATGTTGGGGTGTTGCTGGTACTGGGGAGCCCAGAACTGGACACAGGAATCCAGATGTGACCTCCCCGGCACTGCGCAGAGAAGGATCACCTCCCTTGGCCTGCTAGCAATACTTTTATCTAATGCAGTCCAGGATACCTTTTGCCTTCTTTGTGGCAAAGACACATTGCTGGCTCATCTTCAACTTGGTGTCCATCAGAAACCCCAGTCCCTTTTCTGACAAGTGGCTTTCCAGTTGGGAGGCCCCCAGCATATACTGGTGCATGGGGTAGGTCCTCCCCAGGTGCAGGACCCTGCACTTCTTGTTGAACTTCATGAGGTTCCTGTCAGCCCCTTTCTCCAGCCTGTTGAGGTCCCTCTGGATGGCAGCATGACCCTCCACCCAGTTTGGTGTCAACAGCAGACTTGCTCAGGGTGCTGTATGCTCCATCATCCAAGTCATTAATGAAGACGCTGAAC